GCTGTTTCCTATCTCTGACGATGGACTCCTGTAAGAGTTCGAAAGCTCAGAATAATAAGCAACGTGAGCCGGTGCTCGACCCGTCTTCTTCACATATAATTAACTGGATGGCACAAGTTCCATGGAGTTTTAAGAAAACGCAGATGAGCGGTTCTGGTGATCCCTTATCGGCGTCCCGCCAAAACTGCTTTCAGCTGATCACACCGCAAAAAGTCCACGAGGTTTTAGTGTGCATATGTGACCAGCTGTTCAAACACACTACTCACATCCTACGGACAGGCTAATAATCCTATCAAACGGGGGAAATGAGAATGCACGGGCAGACAAGACAAAGTAACATTCCGCTTGACGTCCCAGTGAAAATATTTGTGCCTGTCCTACCGACGCTCCGCGTTCCTAAGCTAGCTGTCAATCCCCCTTTTCCCGGTTAGCATGACTATAACCCTCTACTCAATCCTCTGCGCTTTTTCAACTGAGAGTAACAGTGACCTATTAGGCGGGAAAAGGAACTCACCGGTAAAACAGACTGCCTTAAGTTAAATTCATGGAAGGTTAACTGTGTTAGTGTCCAGACACCTCCTTTAACTCTAGCCCCAAACTACACCTTAACCCTAATCTCTCTGAAAAGTAGCTCATGGGCCTGGCATGGGAGTCTCCCATTCTCCTGTCCTACAGATTTTGCAATCAAGTTTTAAGTCTACAGAAAATCTCTTGTTTCCTCAAATCAAAAGCATTTATAGGTAAAAATACTGTCTACAAAGTATTAAATGCCTGAGCGGGGCACTTCATTTTAAATCAAGCCAATACTACCATAGCGCATTCAGCTTACTTTTTTGAAGTTCCTATAGAAAAAATGACATAAATACTTGGTGCCTTACAAACGGTTTAAGTTCTCCAACTTTGGTTACAAGTATGGGTCTATGTTATCAAGTGGGACCTGGATTAGCGAGTTTAATCTGTTTCGGCACCAAGCTCGTCGTGTGAAACGTTGGTTTTGGGAAGCCTAGCCAATCAAACTGCATCTGTTCACTGATTGGATGCAGGTGACCTAGGACCCACGCCCTGCGAGCAAGACTCAACTGTGGACATAGGCAGACACTGACAATTCGTTAACGAAGCGGAAGCTCTTCAAACGAAACAAATTTTCTGCCAGTGGTTTGATCGTTACGTAAAATGCTCGTCTCCCGAGGCTCTATTGTAGCTAACACCATGAGGAAATTGCTCATAGTGAATGCAATTTGCTCACTCATGAAGATCATTTACTCAAGATACATTGTCTTCCCAAAACTTGTTAACTGAAATTACCTAAAGCTCTTTTATTGTTTTGGACTCTTCTAAGAGAAGTGACTGTTGAGGAACTGCAAGGCATCACTGGCATATCTAAAGACTTGTAACGGCATAAAGTACCACATTTTTGCAAATGAAATATAAAAGTTTAAGTTAAGACAAATAAACTAACTTTGTAAATGTCGGTCCAGTGTGGAAGATGACGGACAGTTTTACCGCCACGTCAACCAGTTCATACTAAAGAGAAAAATGCAAATTATTTAAAGGCAAACTGAATCGATTACAATCTTTTGAAAAGCCCCAGCTTATTTACTGACAGGTAAATCATTGCAGGTGGATAACACTGGAGTATATGGCTGAGTCTTCACAAATTAGTGAAAAATCCGAGTCAGAATATCAGTGCATAAAGGCGCTACTATTATCCTAAATCGCTCTTCGTTAAGATACACCTCTTTGTTCTTTTTTAAATGAGAAACGCAAAGAGTCTACCCGTTTTGTATACTGACGTCAAGGACCAATGTAAAAAAACAAAATCTATTATACACTCACGTATTGAGGTTCAGTTAACACGCTATCTTCTGTTGAAACCCAGTAACCGGTAAGGAATTGTTCTACGATCTACAAGAAAAAAGGTAAACATGAAAATAGGTACTAGAGCAAGCTGCCTGTGAGACAAAGCACTTGTTAACCGAACTCATATCACCATGATTTTTAAAATCAGTGGATGAAGGCTCGAGCTCGGGCTTAGTAGTGAGCTCGCCGGTAAAAATAATGGCCATGTTCTTGGTTGAGCGGATTATACTTGATGGATAGTATTCACATAATATTTGCACAAGTAAGATCGACTTCAGGACTAAATTCGCAGACACGCTACCGGGGTCACGTACCTGATCGAAAACAACTTTGATGTACTCGGGAGACCGTTTGTTCACGTCGGGTTGGGTCCACCAGCACACCCGACGGAAGTGAAGAGAGGAGGATTCATCGGTCTCGTCGAAGGGGCAGACGTCAAAGTAATATTCATCCAATGGAATGGGTATCAGATCACAATTTGCGACGCCTGAAGATAAAAGAGGAAAAAGCAAGATGGTCACATTGCTGAATGCAGAAAATATTGAGGGCGGTCCCGCTACCTTTTAACCGAATGATGGATTTTTCACTTCTTATACGAATTTAAAAAATGCAGGATTGCAAAGTTTGCACTCTTTCTCTCTGAAGTGGATTACGTCAAATAAAGCACTACCAAATTTGAGAGCCTGAGTACGTTTTTGATTTCCCCAAAATCCTTGCTGCTGATGGACCATATTAGTCAAAACGTGCACCATGTCTAGATATGCTGGTGCAAATGGAAGATGGCTTAAAGTGAATTTCGCAATACAGGTTATCACAATAAAGCACGCGAAAGTAGTTTTTATATGCAACATGATTTGGGTTCTCAGCTGGGCATCATTTTATGGTTATCTGCGCCACCGAAACTGGCAAGCAAATTCATCATAGAAGCAGTATTTATTTACAATTTATTTTCCCAATGTGCTAGGATACATTAAGCTTATTTCCTAAAGGGTAGTCACAGGTACTATGGCACGACTTCTAAACATTTTTATTTGACTGTGGCGGACAGTAGGTTTTGTAAAGTCGGCATATTCCTGCTAATTATTATGCATAATGTGCGTTTCCCATATTTTTCGAAATCCACGCCTTCAGTGTATTACAAAAGCCTTAAGGAACCTGCACAGATATCAAGCCATGCAAAGAATTAAATTAACGTCCAAAAACTCCCAATTACACAATTCATAAAGCCAAAAGCATTTTTTCTTCAGAGGGAAAAAAACAAAAACAATTTTCTACGAATAAGCAGGGTAATTTACACGAGCATACATACTCTCCAGGAAAGATGTTTTAATGCACAAAGGCTTGGGAGGCGGGGGGCGGGTGGGTGAACAAATATTTAACTACGAGTCAGCATCTAACCGTGTGTTGACCAGTTTTGCATTGCGTTCCTTGCTAAGTCCTACTGCAATCTCAATTAAATAACACCTTTTACCTATGAAAGTCTTTAAAAATTTAGTCGATTAATTCATGAGTTCAGTGCCCAACGGATGTACCAAAAGAAACCAATGACATACTGCCGTTCTGCTAAAAGTTCTGCCCCGTTGTCATAAAAGGTAAACGTACCATCCAGTGGTGTCGTTGGAATTTGGAAGAGAGTGAATTCCAGACGTTCTTTTGTTGTTGTGATCTTCATTTGATCGGCGATCATGCAAGATACCTCACCCACCAGGGACATGGGCGAAACATTTACAGAAGTCACACAGCGCGCGGGCAGATTGATCTTGTGTTTCCGTGTCATTTCGCCGCGCTATATCAAGATGAAACAGGCAGTAGTATTTAGATCGCAATTTAAATCTGCCTAGTGAGTGTGTAAACTGGTATGCTCTAGTAGTTTTTAATGAATTTCAGGATATCAGACGACTCCTCTGTGCTTCGTTTCGACTTGTTGTGGCAAAGCAGTCATTGGGTCTTCAGAAGAAGGATTAGGAGCCAACGCCTATGCAGGACCTATAGCACTACTGGGCCCTATGCGACTGCCTACAAGGGCTCTGGATTGAGTCCAAAAGCACAATGGGACGAGCATGACCCGTAACTGCACATGCGAAAGACCGCAAACGACAGGACAGCAAACCCATGGTTCCACGATAGAGCGTTTGACCTAAAAGACTCGATGACCAAGGACTCTGATTTTGAATCCGAAGTCTCGTAAATCTGGTGTTGGGCATGACCGGACAATGGTGGCTAATAATTTGGAGATGGCTATAATGGTATTTCTTTGAATCAGTCGGCACTCTTGTCTGCGCTTCATAATTTCGGAAAGTAAAAAGGAAAGGAAAGTGACTAAGTTGCCAGGAACATGACTTTTTGGATCAGCCTGGAAATTTTAATGAACATTCGAATAATAAAATAGCAACTTCCGTGGAGTAACCGCGGAACGCCCATAATACAAACGATTAGTGTTTCTACTAGTACACTTTTACACAACTGTACTTTATGCCTATGCACGTGTTTAGCCGATGTTTCTGCTGCTGCATAGCAGAGCTTGAGGTTTTAGGCCCCGAGATGGTTTGGGCCTAAAACGAATGTCCCTGACGCCTAACGCCAAAACCTTCTCTTAATGATATTAGCAAATATTAGCTTGATATCTAAAATTCATATATCAGGAAACGCATAGAGAACGATGGGGTACCCATAGAAGAAATGAACGCTTTGCATGTATGGAATATAACAGAGAAACCATCAACGAAGCACATGTTGGCAATTTTAACCAGTATATTGAGAGAACGGTGTAGATTACTGTCACATAGTTTAAAAGTAGAATACATTCTTTAACGAAAGTAAGAATCCGATGATTTTTGAAAAGTACGCTGCTCGAGGCGGTCCCTGAGATCTGAAGAGAAAGCAGCTCTGCTCAGTACTGTAAGGAGTTACTTGGTGAAACAGGTGAATTTTATCGAGCCACCGAAGCTACTCTGGGTACTTCAACGATTTTAAGTCACCATCGAACTTGCCAATCGAACTTGCGAAAGCACTGCAGAGCTCAGGCTTTTAACTATCCTGATGCTAAGTCGGTTAATAGCGAACATACCGACTCCCAAACTCAAAGGTTAGATGCAGTGGAAAAAAATCCCTTCTTTACTGAACGCTTTCGCATATTCCCCCTTGCGGTAATTTTTTGGAGGTTTTGCTGCCGATGAAGGAGATAGCGGGTTGTGGGGAGGCGACGCCTTGAAGTTTCGTTATTAAAGGGTGGAAGTGACGCCCCGGTGTGGCGCCGAAAGTCTACGCGAGGACCACCGAAGGTGCGTAAACAATGTACACACAGACGCTTGCATGCGCTAAATGGAGGACATGCGTTTGGGGGTGAAGTGGGGTAGGGAGCTGAAATGGAAACCAATGTGGCCACCCCCAAGAGGGCATGAAAAGCTTGTTGCAGAGCGGGGGGAGGGGGTTGGGAGGCGTCATATATCGTAGCCCGCTTAACGGCCTTTCGGATTCTCAAAAAACAACACGACACGCAGATCTGTGCTGGGGCTCGAGGGAACAGGTTTGCGCACTTGGACTGGGAATAGGGTCGGGGTGGCGGCATTCCAAATCGTCTCACCTCCAGATATAGGTCCAGACGAGGGCTCGGTTGCTCAAATTGCACCCACCTGAATGCGATTGCATCCATGATGGTGGGGCAGCGCCCGTAGGAAGGACTGCGGTAAACACTCGACTCTGAAATAACCTTTCCATGCAAAATCAACCAATACCTAAGATGTCAATATTTTTTCGATGCCTATAATATATAATCAGAAAAAGGGGTTGTCCACAAATGTTAGCTACGCCATCTTAGGACATCAAAGGATAGTCCAGTGGCACCCTGGCATTCGAAAGTCAGTATGTTAGTGACTGCCTTTTTTAAATCCACTAATCACTGAAGCAGTTGGGATTGAAGGGGCAAGATTTGAGGTAGCAGAGAGCCCAGTCTGCGAACAATAAACTGAACGTGCTCAACTTGGTAACGATTGTCAGGCTTTTTAGAGAAATCAACCTTTGTTAATGAGTTCGGTTTGCAGAACCTCTTTTCCCATAAGAACAGCTAACCATTTTCACGGTAATTTTCAGTCAAAATACGAAAAAGTTGGTAAACTGGCGGGAAACGGTAACAACGAGCATACCAAGTAGGAGTCGATTTCGAAGTCAGAAGGTAGGTTCTGCCGCTGTCCATACTTGCGAACTTTTTCGATATTCGCGGCAACTGTCGCTGCAAGGGCTAAAACAAGCATTGAGGTGTTATTATATGTCCAGCATAATTTTAGAATAGCCTCAGCTATGCACACAGTCTTCGGATCGCAACATGGAAGGGCTTACTTTGTTCGCTGTTGCTGTGTAGAGTGACGGTCTTTGCGTGCTCTAGCAGTGGTGCCCTCAGTTCTTGCGAGCAGGTCAAAAACATGCTGCAGATGGCATATAACTGCCAGACGGTAGTCAGCGAATCGCTATGCACACACATAGAGGGGGAGAAATAAAACAGGGTGATTTCAAATCGCCTTTTATTCACTTACAAAATAGCTTAGTGTGTATAATTGATCGGACTTTAGTGTGTTCAGTAGGGATACATTCAAGACTTCTTTGAATTTGACAAATTAAGACAGCAAAACCTCGGAATAAGCCTACGTGAAATTAAAAAAAAAATGCTCATTCTCTAGAAGGAAATGTATGAAGATGAGGAGTAAACTTACGAGTTCTCGCTATCGTTTTTGTTGGATTGTTTTACCAGTTGGCAGAAGACTTCATCGTTTAGGCTGGGGTAACGTCTCGCTAACTATAAAAATAAATTAACCACAACTGAAGCCAAAGCACAAGAGGGCTGACATTTTGAATAGTAAATCCACTGCGGATCACGTTTTAAACTTTTTTCACACAATTTAACCAATCAGCCTACCTTGAGAATTTTCTGAACCTGCGCTACTGGTGACTTCGTTGTTGGCCGTTCCTTGCATATTTCTAGAATGCCTGAAAATGGGAGCAAGCAGTGAATCCTTACTACGGCTACGAAACAGTAGGCAACTACCGGTCATGAGAAATTTTAACTAACATAGCTATACTCCCTAAATGACGGCAGTAACGACTTTAGAACTATTGACTAGTGTAAACACAACTACTTTATTAGCGATAGCTGACTGGCACTAGCGCCAACTCTACCACTGCAATGGAGGGGGCCTTAATACAGATTGGTATGCTTTATTTAGCTTATACTAAAAGAGCCTTCAGCCGCATCAGCCCTACTCCCTACTTCCACACCCACCATACTTCAACGCCAAGAAATCGAGGGGCCATAAGTTAGGTATGCGTGTACAGTTGCTTGTGAAGTTTGACAAGGTATCTACTTGGGTCACACACGGTCTTGCACGTACAAAATTGGTTACGTTGGAAGGAAGTACCGGAAGAAGTCATATTAACATAAACGGTAAAACCCTATCCTTGGCGGGTAGAAGTACCGTAATCAGAGTTCGATCATTTGAAACTTAAAGAATTCTGATGGGTATGTTTTCAATAGGGAGGGATTAATTTAAGTGGGTTCTTATATCCACTGCGATACCGACAGGTTAGGGTGCTGCTATTTTACTCCACCTCTCCTCGGCCGTTTGCAAGAACCGCACTCGAAAAAAAACGACCACTTATGGAATCTGCATGGTTTTCTTTTGATTTTTTATGTCACAATAAATGCGCAGATATTTTATAAAAAAGGTACGCCAAACTATTCTTTCGGCAGCCAGTTGGTAGAAAGGCATATCTTATTGAAATTTGATATTTAAAGGAAGGGTATATTTCGATTTTTAAAAGTGTTTCAATTCCTGAAGCTTTTTCGGTCCGATCTGGCGTTTTATTTGCGTTTGCGGTTTTCAGCCTATGGGCTGTATGTTTTCCGCATAAACAAAATCACACATTCATCTAGGCTATTAAGAATATACCATATATTGGTCTTTTAATTTTGTAATGCGTGTGAGCCATATTATATACTTCATGAAGAGAAATAATAAATGTACAGCTATGGCGCTATGCAAATAGACATCAAGTGAACCTGAAACTTGTCATAATTATAAACTTTTATAAAACCAAAAGATAGCTGTTTTTTGAGTATAACGTGATATTCTATCAAATGAGTACAAGAAGGATTGTTTTTGAGAATGATTTTGATCCAATATTTTTCAATTTAAAATGGCATCGAAAACCAATAGAATAAAATGCATAATATAGAAGTGATTACTTTTCTGCTGAATTCCGTTAAGCGAACGCAAAAAAGTGCATTCAAAAGCCGATACCTTGGCCTTTCTGAAATATTATGGAATTATGCCGCATAACCCCCGAGTAATCTTTCTGAATCAAAAACACACTTCCAAAATTTAACTCAAATTTAATTAAATCAGTCGCCCAGTGTATGCCGTTAGCTGAAAAGTCACTACTGTAAGAGGCCATGATTTTCAAAAGGCACGTTTGACAGAAAACATTAATGAAAAACGACCGTTCGCGAAGAAGAACAAGCTTAATCTCATCTCCTTCTCTCCTGTCGGTTGGTGTTTGATTCACGTTTAGGCAGATAGTATTGCAGGCAAAGACAAGAGAGCCTGGAAATACTATTTTTGGCTTATTAGTCGTCGTCAGTCACTCATACCCAACCCCATCTACTGAACTACCCGAGGCTCGAACTCGCGACCTTTTGACCAGAAATCTAAAGCTCTAACCACCGAGCCACCAACTTGTTTTCTTGCCGGATTAGGTCGGGAAATATTGAAACTCGTTGATGAACGTTCACCGACCGCTAACAAAACTCACTAGTCCTGTTCTGCCTTTGGGTCCTATTTCTCGGGCCCTGACAGTCGCGTTTAGTGTAATGTATTCGCCAGTTGGGTGAAAAGACACCTAATTACTCACCGAAATTGGCATACACTGAACTTTCCAGTTATTTTAAATAACACTCAAAATATAGTGAACAATATTGAAATTATATACAAATGATAGATTACATTCGAAAATGCGGGAGGCCGCATCAACAACTTCTGTATCATTGTGTTTCATTAGGGAACCGTATCTCAAAGGCTGGTTCTGCCATGAGAGCTGCTTGCCAAAGTGTTTCCTAAGAAGGGGAAAAGAGTTAGTTAGATTCTTAGTGTCAAAAAGGGGGGCAGTGAAACGAATGACTACAAACTCGCATCCACTCACCTTTCTTTGAAGTACTGTTTTGCATAAGGCATAAGGCATTCCACCGCGTCTGTATGACTTGACATGTAAGAAGCCACGGACATTGTATCGGAGAGGTAGTCATCGTACGTTTTTTCCCTCTTACGGGCATCTAGAGTCAGAGTAACGTAAATAAGCTTAGACGTCAACCAGCCGAAATGGAAATTGTACGAACCAATATTTCTGTCTCTGGGTTTCCAGTGGAAGGATATTTTAACAACAGAGATCGTTCCAACTAAAACAATTTTCCGGAAAATAATGCACCCATCGTTGAATCAACTCCCATCCTAAAGTTTGCTGGGACATTAAACTATCACATGACGGGATAAATTGTCAATGTCTCCTGCGTTTATCGTAATATAGTCCCAGGAACACTTAACTGTGAGTTCACCTAAAGATATCTGATAGATAAAAAGCCGCAGCCCAAAATGTGACCTTGGAGTTTCTGTCAGCTGCTTGGATGTCTACCAAGTCTGTGTGAAACCAACGTGTTGGTGAATACTTCTCACGCCTTGTTTACGGGAAAAACTTGCAGGTAGAAAAGTTATTGTTGTCGGTGACACAGGAAATTGAGTAGATTGGAATCTTCAGGACTGGCTAAGTTGAGGGCAAATAGATATCACAATTTACTCTAGAGTAAGGACTTGACTCCGAGCGTTTACATCCTAACAGTCTAATGTCAGAATACAGTCTATTTGGGACCCAGTTTGCACCAGTAACGCAGGATGGCATTCGGAAAAATGCCTGAAACTCCAGTTTAATATAATAAAACTTAAATTGCTGCTTAGGAGGCAAACAATCGGCAATAAAACACGTAGTACATCCTAACATATAATTTCGTGCCTTCCCACGTTTTCCACGGGTGTCATGTCATCACCAACCTGTTGACAAATCATTCTAGCCAACATCTGATGCTGTTTTGTAGATGTGTCGATTACTGCACTTCATTTAGAAAATATAATCCAAAATTCCGGCAAAACAAACGTAATTTTTAGGAGTTTATATGGAACAATTAGTTCGTCCTAAACTTTTTGGGGCGAGTCCCCGCCTTGCATTTAGATAGGTAAACACGTTGAAAATATCTTTGAAAAGAAAAGATGAAGTTAACTAAGTGAGTATCTGGAAGCTGGGGCTGCCAAGCCGCCACCTTTTTCTGAATGTGCGAGGAGGAGGGTTCAGAGGAAAAGTTAAATGCATTTTCAGTTTATTATCACTTACTTGCGGCGTAGACCTTCCGCTGCGAGTTTTCGCTCTTTATCTGAAACAGTACGAAACAAATGAGTGAATCTCGCAGGATCAGTATTTCCACGACAAAAGTTAGATCACCCAGCAAAAATAATAACTGTAGGGGTTCCAGGCATGCGGAAAGGAAATAAAAAAGCTTTGCAGGAGAAAAGACTAAAAACCCACCCTGTATTCTGCAACAAATATATCGACCAAGCGCTTCATGTCCGCTGCCTACAAGGAAGGAAGTGAAAGTCACGTTGAGAGC